GGGCTCAGAATGGACTTGGGAGCCGGAGGACGAGATGAGGGAGCACTACTCGAGCTATTCCCAGATACAGCAGACTTCGAGGACGAAGTCTAAAATAAGTGGGGGAGATTTGTAACGCCCAGTTCCTGGTATGTATTTTAATAAGAATTATTCATTTTTGCAAAGGGACTCGACGAGTTGGAGGCCCCAAACTCGTCGAGTAGGAATGGGATTTTGGACGCGGGACTTGAAATCTACTCCACGAGTCGAGAAGCCTCGACTCGACGAGTAGGTCTGCCAGAGTGAAACCCTAATTTTTAGGCTTTACACCCTATTTAAACACTTTATCTGGCCTCCACTACAACCTCCATCACCTCCAGACCTTAGTCACGAAACTCTAACCCATTGTGAGTGTTCTTGAGCCATTGTTGTGTGTTCTTGGTGATTTTGAAGCTTGAAAAGGAAGAGGAAGCTTGGGGATTCAAGAGGAAGCAAGTAGATCCAGAGTTGGTGCTTCATATCCAGTTCATTTGAGGTATAAAGTCTATACCTTGACTATTCATTTGCTAGATCTTTTCATGGGGTAGTTTAGGGCTTTTAGAGCATAATATGGAACCATTCATGGATGCAAGCATGTTTTGGGGTAATAACTTCAGATCCAGGGTCTTTGAGGGACTCCATGGCATAAAGGTGCCAACTTTATGGCCATGGGAGTCCCACGCATCCCATGAACAACTTTTTAGGGCTTTTTGAGCTAAATAGCCCATGCATGAACGTAAAGTTTGTAACTTTATGTGTTATATCGACCCTAGGAGGTCAGATCTATGTTTTGGATGCATTAATCCCGAATAAGAACGATTAAATAGATTTGGACTTTAGGGAACTCGACGAGTCGTTCATACGACTCAACGAGTTGGGTTGTGGTTCCCCAACCTTTTCTATTACTGAGCAAACTCATTGAGTCTAGAAGATGACTCAGCGAGTTGGACGTGTTTATGGACTTGAAGATCAAAGAACTCGACGAGTTCAAGGATGAACTCGGCGAGTTGAGAGCAAATGTCCCAAATGATATGAAGAAGAACTCGACGAGTTCAAGGATGAACTCGGCGAGTTGTGAGTGAAATACCCCGACTTGCATGAAGGGGAACTCGACGAGTCCATGGAAGAACTCGATGAGTAGGATCGAGACTCCAGATTTTTATGGACCCGGGGAACTCAACGAGTTGATGGACCAACTCGGCGAGTTGAGTCAACCAGAAGGTTAACTTGGACCAAAAGGTTGACTTTGACCAGAGAGTTGACCTTTGACCTTGACCATTGACCAGAGTTGACCCTTGAAGGGGTTATGAGTATGAAAGAGTAATTAAAAAATATGATGTGTAGGAGTTTGAGGAGAGTTGGTTCCAGAGCCGAGGACAGTTCAGCTACTGTGTGACATTGAGGTGAGGTACCTTACAGTAGAAGTGGGTCTAAGGCCACAATGTTGGGCCACTAGTAGGAAATGTGAGTTAGATGATTGTCTTCGTGATAATTGTCTGGTATGCCACTATATGTTATGTTATATGTGTTAGTATGTTATATTACTATGTGGTAGTGGTAGGGGATGAAATACCCGGTTACCGGTTGAAAGATACCGAAGGGGAGGCCAACACCCAGTTATGCTAGGCAGTTACCGGTTGAAAGATACCGAAGGGGAGGCCATCACCCAGTTATGATAGGCAGTTACCGGTTGAAAGATACCGAAGGGGAGTCTAGCTCCCAGCTATGGTAGGCAGTTACCGGTTGAAAGATACCGACGGGGAGTCCAGCTCCCAGATATGCCAGACAGATACCGGTTGAAAGATACCGAAGGATAGACATTATGTGTTTATATGATATGTGGTATGATGGGGGAACTCACTAAGCTTTGTGCTTACGGTTTTTAGTTTTGGTTTCAGGTACTTCCTCTTCGAAGGGAAAGGAGCCGGCACGGTAGCAGCGCACACACACACGATTTTCCTCATATGAGATTTCTGGGATTTGTACTCTGACATTGTTTTATCATGATATGATTTGACTATTGATACTCTGGTTTTAATATAATTGATACTATAGTTGTTTTCAGACAAATGGTTTTATAATTATTATATTTAAAATGAAAATTTTTTGTCATGATTTTTGGGATGTTACATAACCTTTGTCATTTTCTTTGATGGTCATGCTTCTTTTAATGTGATGGGTAAGCATCAAGACCGAATAACTGTTTTTGGAACCAGAACCGAATCCGACAATTTCAGAACCAGAACAAAGAAATGATGTGATCGGGACTGGTTTAGGTTCCTAAAGTTTGGAACCGATTGAAATCGGTTCATAATTTTTTGAACATATATATGTTGGGTACACTTATAAAAATTCTAAGTGATTGCATTTGTTATTGTTGTTATAATTGGTTCATATTTTAATAGAGTTATATAACAAATTCGTAAAATAGTAAAAAATGTCATTTATTCTTTCTCTGTACTCATGCTAAAAGGAGGTATATCTTAACCTTTTTTTCCTATGTATTTAGATATAAACTAACTGCATTTGTTACTTGCTTTTATAAAGACAAAATTGCATAAACGGTACATGTGATATCTAAAAGCCTCAAGTGCAAGTGCAGGACAATTTTGTAATTTATTGCACGGATGGTCTTTGTCATATCATTTTGGACGTGTTCGGCAAAACTAACTGGTAGCGGGTAGCTTGTAGCTTGTAGCGTTTTGTTAAACGCTACATTAAGTAGCTTTTGGATTTGGAGCGTTTTGTTTAAACTAAACGCTAGAAGCTTGTAGTGCCAAACAAGACTTTCTGTTCAAAACGGAGCGTTTTGTCAAACGTTAGAAGCTAGAAGCTCTCAAACGCTCCGTGCCGAACACATCATTTGTTGCATGGTTGGTCCTCAAGTGTTCAATTTAACCATTAAATTTTTTTTGTTTTTCTTTTAAATAGCATTTGCCCTTTGACCAAACACCAAAATACAATGTACCATAAGGCCTAGATTTGTAATTTACTCGTTAATTTATGTTTTTTATTAATATTTTTTGGTATTTACTCATTAATCTACATCCAATATAATCAGGCCCGGCCGGGGCAAGTTAGGAGGCTATGGGCTGGGGCCCCAAAATTAATTCCTATTTGATATTATATATATATTTTGTTAAAAAATATACAGTGATTTCGATATTTAATTTGGTCAAATGGCGTTGAATGAAGCCGCCTTGCTTACTGATTGGTCCATGTTCGAACCCTGTATAGATCGTTTTTCTTTAATTACCTTTCTTTTATTGCTTTTTATATAAATTGAATTTGGAGGACGCTTCTTCTTAAAATACTTCTTTTTTATCATAAATAAACGTTTTACCCACATGTAATCCAAATTTACAAAAATAGCCCCTATGTTTTTTATTATTGTTCATAAATTATCCAAATCAAAGAAAGGGTCCTTTTTTCTTTTTGTTTTCTCGACACACCATCTAAACATTCATTTCTTTTAAAATTTGGGTGTTTTTCTTTATAGCCAATACCATGCATAGTTCTCATGTTTATATATGAGATTTTCTATCTCGTCTTTTAATATATGATAATTATTTTATTATAGATTTGTTAACAAAAATCATGATAACCTACCGGTTAAATGTGTCAATCTTCAAGTTTATTTTTCTATGGCCAATACTACGTTTGTTCGGGTTTTTTTTTTTTTTTTGTCATTGGTTTTTTGAACTCACATCCTTTATATATATATATATATATATATATATATATATATATATATATATATATATATATATATACTCGTCTCCATAGACATCATAATATTATCGTTTGCGAGTACTAAATTTTAAAGGGCCTCACTTTATTCTTTTGCCCCGGGCCTCAAATCGACTTGAGGCGGCCCTGAATATAATCTACATTCTTTACGAATTTTCCCATAAAATTCAAATGAATCCAAAAAGATAAGAAATTAACACATATAAAGCAATTTACATAATTAATGTAAATACTAAGAACTCAAGAAGCAATTAACATACATCGATAAAAGGATCTGAAAAACAGATAAAACATATATTCATGTAGATCGATAATATAATTCATTTTTTTGGAAGGTTAATTTTATTTGACAAAGAATATTGACCAACAATAAGCTAGAAATAAAAAAGTAAGAGACAAATATCTAAAGCAAAAGAGTTCCAATTCTAGAACACCAAAGGATCAATATCTCAACCAAAAATTTAACCAATGAATAAGCAATGTGGACATCAGGAAAGAACACCACTAAGACTTTTACCATGAGTTAGAATGTTCTTAATAATGGGAAGACTTTTGCCTATTTGAGTTATCTTGACATCGTGAGTTGTCTTAGCATTTTAGACAATCTTCTGAGTTTTAGTTGTTTTAAGATAGCTTGATAGCTCTGAAAAGTTGGCCTATTTTAATCTAGTTAACATAGACATTGAATGAGAAACTTTTTCATTCATCTCATAATAGATTAGACAACTTTTATGTCGTGAACAATTGTCACTACGACTTTAGCAATTGAGTCTTCCTACTAAGTTTGGGTTTTGCTTGGCCAGTTTTTTCAAAAACTTACTTGTAACTGGAAAACCACAAATTTCATTGTACTTATCCAATTTTCAAATAGATGACTATATATACTAATATTTCACCTATTTTGGATCTTTCTTAAGAAAAAAAAAACGAAAAATATACTTTTCAGAAACGTTGCTCTCTGTTTTTGTGCATACTACCTAGAATTATCTTCACAGTTGGATTTCACATTGTTGGGAGAAATATCAACAAAGATCCCAAATATGGTATATCCGAGGAATTATTGGTATAATAGCTATAGTCATTAAATAATCCTAGTATTTTAGTGTTTTTAATGTTTTGGTCAGTTCTCTTCACAAAGGAAACATTGGTATCTCATTATTGTATTGAAGGCCACATTCGTAATCTTGTATTTAAGAAGAAGAAGAAAAGCGAACATCAATAAGGTAATCAACTAAAAAAAACATTGTAGTTTTCATTTCTTTATATTATCCCAACCACCATCATATTACAACATAAAACTTAAAACCAATACATACACACATAAACAACATTCCAATTTCTTCAATGCCTAGGGTTTTTATAGTACAAAATAAGCTTCGTAGGTCTAAACAAATACCTAGACCCATACGTCGAATGAATCACATCCGCCAAAAGCGGATACTGCAACCAAGCAAACAAAAACACCGGCATAACCGCTAAAAACCCAATAACAATCGGCACCCAAATCAAACCCTTCCGGTAAAGCACAAAAAAACTAACACTAAACGCAATCGTCATACTTGTAATCGACAAAAAAAGCGATGTTAACCCCAACATGAGTTTTTTAGGCAACGACTCTAAGAAATCGCGTTCAGCATAACGAGACGTGAGGATAGATAAAAACATTAAAATTGAAGCTGTTGATGAGAATAGGGAAATGGCGTCTGTTACTACGAAAACTATGAAGGTTGGTTTTGTGTGGAAGATTGGGATACCTTCGGATTGGTTGTATCCACCTGGCACTGTAAAAGCGGCGGCAAATACTATGGTGGCTATAAGTGTTGCAACGACCATACATTGACTAGCGGTTACTTTCATCCATTTCTCACCTTGTGAAACGAGGTCTTTGTGTTCTTTTGTGAATAATTCGTGTGGTGTTAAACCGTCTTTGTTCTTACGTTCTCTGTAAGATGGAGGGATCATGGCTTCTACTTCCTATAACATAAATGTGTACGTGTTATATGCTCTATTATTTAATTTAGGGCTAAATGTGGGAAACAACAATACTTTCCGTTTATTTGTGTATTCTTGTAGCATGCTATTTTGGATTGTTTGTTTTTCTTATTAGGAAATTGTATTTTGAAAATTTTACGTAATTACGGCATTTTCTTTTTTTGTTCTTAGTAGGACATTATGCTTCGCAAAGTCTACCTAATTACGACATATTATTTTTTTAGACTTTTTTTTAGATTAGGACATTATACTTTGAAATATTTAAGCAATAATAGTAGTATATTACTTTGTATTTGGATGACATTGCTATAATTTGGTAGATTTTTTGTAATAGGAAGAAATGAAAATATGATGCTGTAATATACAAATCAAATTAAGTACGTTGCTATTTCATGCATTTCACACTACTGAACAAACACTTGCATGAATCATGAAAATAATCGGATAGTCAGAAGCAAAATCTAATAGGTAAAATGACTAAAGAAACCATTTTTATTAGAAAAAAAAAAGTGCGGAATCGTGTGAAATGAGAGTAAAAGTCTCTCAACTTATGTTAAAATTAGGGGAAAATAGGAAAATTTGTTTTACCCTGTGAGAATAAGTTTTGTTGTATATAAAGGAGTTATGAAACTGATTATTTGACCCCTAAACAATAAAATAATTAAAAGCGAAATCTATATATAGAACTAATGAGATGAAAGAATAAAAGCAATAATCAATAAATAATTAAAAAAAAACTCATGTAAAACGTACCTTGAACCACAACAATTCACGTTGCATTTGTAAAGCAACTCCCGAAACATCTTGAAGTCGTTTTCTCTTTGCACTCTTCCCAACTAAATGCAACATATTATTTTCATTTTGATCTTTCAAAGGAGTTATCAAATCCTTCATTGACCCAATCTCATACAATAAATTGTATATGCCCTCATGACGATGTTTCACAGCAATATGAAACACACTTTGATTGTTATCATTCACTTTCCATATCAAATCAGGGTATTGCCTAATAAGCTCAACCACAAATTTAGTGTTGCCCATTTCTGCAGCAAGAAACAGTATTCTAGACGAATAAGTTTTTTTAACATTCACCATTGATGGCATCCTTGTTATTGGTTTTGACGTGGTCCCACCACCACCACTTCCAACTAATTTTTGGATTTCAATTGGCATTTTGACAATATGTTCGGATATGAGTTTTTAGTAGTTGTAGAGCTTGATCTTCCTTTCCCAAATGTAGCTTGTCATCTTGCTTGATTGGATCGGGTGGGCCCCGGATGATGTCATCTATTTGATTTTTGGGCTTCTTCGCAATATCTTTCCAAACGATTCTTAGTAATTGTAATGCTTCGTTTTCCTTTTCGGGACCTCCCACTTTTAAACCAATGGAAGCAAAACCTAAAACAAGAAGAAACAAAATTACATCATAATTAAATAAAGTCTAAATTACACGGATGGTCCCTCTAGTTCAGGGTAATCTGCATGTTTGGTCCCTAACAACTTTTTTTTACTCGGACCGTCCCTACTTTATACTTTTGTTGCACGCTTGGTCCTGGTAAATCAGTCTTTTTATAACGGACAGGGATCAAACGTGCAACAAAAATATAAAGTAGGGACGGTCCGAGGTAAAAAAAAAAAAAAGTTGTTAGGGAGCAAACACGCAGATTACCCTAAACCACAGGGACCATCTGTGTAATTTACCCTTAATTAAAACAAATCAAGAATTAGAGATGCTTACATGAATTGATTTTTCTCCATATTACATTAGTCTTTGTTTCAATAAATGCATCCGGCTTTCGAGCCAAAACTCCAAGTACATTCCCATTACTAGCAAGCTCATGGCGATCTTGTACTATTTTTAATGCCATATCTAAAAAACATTTGATAACAATTTTATGAGCGAAAGATTTAAAACAAATCAACAATGAAAATCATGGATGCTTACCAAAGAGATCAGCCTCAACACATTTAAGAAGAAGCCACCCACGATTTTGAGGTGTCCAACCATCATCCATCAATTTTTTAGAATTATCATAGAGATACTTCACCATATCACGTTGACCAAATAAAGCAGCCATATAAAGAGGCATCATTGCTTGACTACCAGGGATTGAAAGCAACTTTTTGTTCTTGTTCACCATAATCTTAACCATTTCAACATTTCCAGCTGCAGCTGCTAAACAAAGGGCAGTATTGGAACTGTTGTTTTGAAGTTCTAAGTCCTTTTCATCCATCTTATTCACTAAATTTTCCACAAACTCTTGTAACTGTTTCGTTCTTTTTGCTGATGCTGCAACATGAAGGGCTGTTTCGTGATTTTCAGTGATACTTGATCGTACTAACTTTGGGTCTTTTTCAAGAATCGCTTCAGCAGCTTTCCAATCGCCTTTAATGGCTGCTTCGTATAGAGGGACACCAATGTCTAGGTAAACTTCTCTGCTTCCTTTAAATTAGTTACAAGGAAAAGTTATTGCGAATCGAATGAGATAATCAATCGATTAAAGTTATAAATAGCATGATATCTGTTCAAAATCAAAATTATATACTTGCGAAACCTCAAATCATATCACTTTATAGTTTATACGCACACCCAATTATCGAATCGAGTAGAAAATGGAGAAATTTACCTGTAAGGAGATCAGAAGCAGGTAGATTCGGTTGTGGTGGCCTTGATTGAGCAGGAACGATGATTTCGTGCTGTTGCTGTGGAGTTATGGGCTTCTGTTCATCGATTGGGGGTAATTGCACACCTGTTTGCTTCATATCTACACAGTTACACCATTAACGATTAAAAACCTAATTGCTTGAGATCATGAGGAGTAGAGTGTAAGAGAGGGTTTGAATTTGATGCTTCTGAAAATACCTTGGGATTATGTATGAATTAGTGAATGAATAGCCTTCGGAATTCGGATTATATTATTTGTGAAAGATAGTTTAACATTGATTCGATGATTTATAAAGAGTTAACGTCTAAGTCTAAGTCAACGTTACAACGTCTATGTCTTTATGTCAATTTCTAAGAAATTTGTCCTAATAAAAAAATTGAGATAATCATTGAAATATTAAATGGGTGGTGTACACTATACATTTTAGAATTCTCAAAGTAAATTTTCTTAAATATTTATTGTAAAATAAAATAGATTTATAGAAAGTAGAAACCACGCATAATTTATTTATTTTTAAATATATTTTATAATAAGTATTAAAAAGATAGTCATATAATCCAACAGAAATAACTGAATATCAATTAAGGAGTGAACGGAGAATTAAAAATAGAATTGAATTTCACTAACCAGTTCCAGTTCAGTTCTATTAGGAAGTATGTTATTTAAGAATGTGTTCGATACTAAGAACGGTCCGAACTGAATTGGAACCGAAATAACCAGAAACCAAAAATGGTGAACTGAAAAAACCAATAATCAAACTGAATATCTAATCTCAATTCCAAATCGGTTTTTCGGTTAAAAAGATGGTCATGCAATCGGTATCTAAGAGTTTTGATATGTACCGAATACATTAATGGATTTATCAAGAAGAAAATATATTCGTACAAACTGATTTCTTCATAACTAAGTGTTGGTGGGATAGTTTATAAAAATTAAAAAAAAATCGCATCTCCTAAAATACTTATTTAAAATATTATATAATAATAATAATAGTTTTGTAAACTTCCGAAAATTCGATATTAGGGTTGCATCTAACTCGAAATTGTTTTATCCAGACTAAAAATGATTAAATTTGACTTTAGCTCAACCGCGTAACATACTTTTATTATTGCATTTTGGTTCTTTTAAAAACATCTAAGTCTTGGAAGTTTACACAACAAATTTCAGAAGAGTAAACATTACTTTAAGACCAAAACATTCATATTATTGTTTCACATTTCGATCATGCTTTGATTTTGAACCAATCCTTTATGTTGTACTTTTTCCACAAAGTACATGTTTTTTGATGTTGTGAATTTGTGCTAAGGTTTGAAATTTCGAAAGAAAGTATATCTTTGATAAAACGAAATTTCATGAATGATCCATGCACTTTCTAAGAAGTATCAATTTAAGGATTATGTTGGACAATGTTATACAATTGGTTCATGTAGTTTCATAAATCAAACACGGTTAGTTCTTCGGTTGTTAAGAGTATCAATTTTGTATGATGAGATCTGAAATATATAAAATAATATAATAACCATTAATATATTCTTATCTTATTTTCATTTTTTAATTACTTTAAATAAATAATGTAATTAACATATGATCTTTGTTTTTGTATTTTGGCCAATTGAACAATTTCAGGTTCCCAATAGGTTGCAAGGACGTAAATATTTTATGCGGATTTGGCATTTGGCTTTTGACATTTCTTGCTGACTTGGATATTGACTTGGTCAAATGTATTCCACATTGTGTTTTAGTTAAGGCAAGTATATTCCTTACTCCTTAGTTCTCTAATCTCAGTTTGACTGATCTCAAACACACTCATTATATTAGGTGTTTGATAAATTGATAGGCCTTTTATGACCTCTAGTAAAAGGCTCGGACTTTGTTAGATTCAAACTATTTTGTGTCACATTTAGAAGCCTTTGACTCGGTCCATGCTTCAGATTCAAGGTTGTGTCTAACTCAGTCAGTCAGACCCTTGACTCAATCAACAACTATCAAATAACCTCTAACCCGGACTTTGCGTTCTAAAGGTCAAGGTTTTTTTCCACGGAATGCAACATGTGAGTATTTAATTTTAGATTACAAATATGTAACTACACTTATATGGATTTAAGTTACAAATAGATCCACAAAACTATCCAAAACAAATGATATCTAATGATTAAAAAACATAGAACTTACCGATATAGCTTTTCAATCCACATTGAAACCTTTATCATCTTCATATTTTGTGAATTGTGACCATATACCAATTAAACTAAGATATATCTCGTTTGATCAAGCACCAATTAAACCAACAATACCCACATAGATACTGAAATATGAAATAAAATGTGTAAATCTTTAAATCCTAGATTATGATTTAAGAGATAGGGTGTGACTGGTTTTAGGATTCAAAATGAGAGGAAGAAGTTGATAAGGTCACTTTATCGATCATAACATAGTATAACATATCGATCGGTTTTGAAAATATTCAAAAACCAGTTGACTTCAAATTCTATATCCAACCATTATAGCAATGAAGAAGATGATGATGATGTTAGGTTGCTCAAACTTGTCACAAACTAGATGATGAACCCACACACACCCTGTCTAATGATAAAAATGATAAAAACGTTAAATTAGTTATTTTATATGTTGTTAACAGTGCAGTCAAATTGTTAAAAGGCCCAACAATTCAAGATTTTGAAACCATATATATCAATAATATAGTGTTTACCTCGTCGAATCCTAAAATTGATACCTTTTGTAAACAATAAGGACAATTTGTGAAATATATTTTTTTGGTAAACAAAACAAATTTGTAAAAATCCTGGCATGTGGTGTTGACACAATCCTAATATCATTGACATATAATACGTAAATAAAATGTAAACTATTAAAAATGATTTTTTTACAAATTAAAATACATTTTCAAGACAATAAAACTGCAAATAAAATACATAATTTTTGTTATTGAGCATAAACTTGTAAAATTTAATATTAACAATTTAAAAAACATTTTCAAAACAATAAATTCATGATTTGGTTTGTTTTGTTTTGATAAGACTACTTAGATGACCAACTCCAAATAATTAAATATAACATTTTAATAAAAACTAAATTTAATTCACATCCAACAATCAACCTAATATTAATACAATCTTTAAATTTGCCACCAATGACATTCAAATATTTGTGTAGGCAAATGCAATGACCATAAAATGATCAAACTTTATTTGAGAGCTCAGTTATCCAAAAATATGAAATTAACCAATTAGTAAAATTATATTTAGAGTTGGAGTTTCTGATGCAGAATTACACGCAACTGTCCGTATTCTCGGCTGTTTGGAGGGTTCTTTCCCTTTTAATTATTTGGGTGTCTCGGTTGGGGCTAATATGTTATTGAAAAAGAATTGGAAGTTGATTCTTGATAAATTTAGCTCCAAACTATCGGTTTGGAAAGCTAAATCATTATCGTTTGGCGGTAGTCTCACTCTCACCAAATTCGTCATTGGTTCCCTTCTGACCTACTACATATCTTCATTCAAAGCTCCTCAAGGAATTATTGATAATCTTGAAATGATCTGGCGCAAACTTCTTTGGGAGAGCTGTGGAGGACCTAAAAGGAAAATTCACTGGATGGAATGGTCAAAAGTCATCGTGCCAATATTTGATGGAGGTCTTGGAATTGGATCTTTATTAGCTCAAAATACAGCTCTCTTAATCAAATGGTGGCGTGGGATGATGAATGAAAAGGATAGTTTGTGGAAGATGATTATTGATAGCATTCACAGTCTGCACAATAAACTGTTGACGAATTATCTAAGACAGATGTGGCATGTTGGCGTATTCTAGTCCAGATCAAAGGTTACTTAGAGTGTTGTCCAAGGTTTTGGGGTTTTCCTTGAGCCATAAGGAATGCTTTACATGGAAAGTATTGTTTGATTACATTTAGGTATCCTAGTTATATTCTAATGTGATCTGTATAGTATATAATAGAGATAGGATCTTGTATTATGTATTAGATTGAAGTTTTGAATAATTTTCTTCAAATAAAGTTCATGCAAGTTAGGTATTCTACTTTTGTTACTTGTTTTTCCTGTTACCTTTAACTTGTATCAGAGCTTCGAATCAAAGCCTTGTGACAGAAGGTGAACCTGCGACAGAAGAGAAGGAGCTTTCATGTTCGAAATAGTTCGTGTGGCAAACGTAAGCAGAAATCTAAATCGGAACAGTGAGTAAACAACTTTCATGTTCGTGTGGTGGGTTTTGTCGGCTTGGATCAATCAGAAACATAAGGATCATACACCCTGAGCGAGGTTAAGGCTTTGGGAATTCTCGATTGATAGCTTGGAGAGCTAAACAGAACCGACATCTTGACAATTAAGGCAGAAGCATAATCCGTTTGGTGATGACAGGAGAAGTGGGCTCTTCACAGCCGACTACAAAGGAACCTACCTCGTTAACATTTCAATACCCAACTTTAACGTCGACAAACTACACGATTTGGAGACTGCAAATGGAGGTTTTGCTTGGAATCCATGGTGTCTGGGATGTCGTTGATCAAGGCTCCAACGAGTCCAAGAGGAACAATATCGTGAAAGGACTATTGTTCCAGTCAACACTGGAAGACCTGATACTTCAAATCAGAAATATCAAAACAGCTAAGGAGATGTAGAATGCAATTAAGACTCGAAACTTAGGAGTTGATCGTGTGAAGGAAGCGAGACTCTATACGCTAATCACTGAATTCAAAAATCTCAAGATGGGTGATACAAGCACAAGATTTTGCAGCTAAACTTTTTGGAATTACTTTAAATTCTGCTTCACTAGGAGAGGTCATAACTAAATAAAAGCTTGCGAAGAAGTTTCTTACGAGCCTCCATAGGCGATTTGTGCATATTGTGGCAGCTCTCGAACAAGTCTTGGATCTTAAAACAATAGTTTTGAGGACGTGGTTGGTCACTTTTAAAGCCTATGAAGAAAGAATTCAGGGTGAAGATAAAGCATTCGAAACACAAGCAAAGCTACTCTATTACAAAAATGAATCATCCAAAAGAAACAACGAATCATCAAGAGGTAGAGGTTGGTGTTCAAATTATCGAGGTAAAGGACGTGGTGGTGAACATGGTCGGGGTAACACACAAAATCATGATCACTCAGGATCCTCTAAAACTCGTGAGGACAAAAAACAGAAGGGCAAACCATGTGAGCAAAGAGATCTCTTAAACATCCAATGTTGCCGGTGTGACAAATACAGACACTTCGCTTCAAGATGCCTGAATCGAACCAAAAACCATGAGGAAAACCTTAATGAGGCATACGAAGGAAATACAAATCATGAAGAAGGAACGTTCTTTACGATGAATGCAATTCAAGAAGCGGTGTTCTTGAACGAAGACAAATATATCCTTCCAAAGATTGAGGCAAATGTCCATGAAGACGGCGTTTGGTACTTAGACAATGGTGCGAGCAACCACATGATCAGCAACTACTCTTATTTTCTAAATTAAATAAGAACATAACGAGAAGGGTGGGATTTGGAGATAGATCATGTGGTAGCATCAAAGGGAAAGGATCAATTTCATTCGAAGGCAAAAATGGCGAGAAAAAATTGATGAAATATATTTATTACATTCCATCTTTTCGTAGTAATGTAATAAGTCTTGAACAATCTACTATATCCAGGTGTGACATACAAATGCGAGGTGATATCTTAACCTGCGAGATGAAGATGGAAGAATACTAATGAAAGTCCCGAGAAGTGCAAACCGCCTTTACAAGATTCGTTTAAAAGTTGGAAAACCACATTGTTTACAAGACAAAATCAATGAAGTAGCATGGTTATGGCACACACGACTTGGTCACATTAACTTTGGTGAAATACACTTAATGCACAAGCTAGCTAAAGGGGTACCGACAATTGAACATCAAGACGAACTACGTGAATCTTGCTTGGTTAGAAAACAAACGAACCAGTCGTTTCCAAAGAAAGCTAAGTATAGAGCAACAAATATTCTCAAGATGGTGCATGGAGATATTTGTGGGCCGGTTGATCCCCCCACCTAAGTGGGTAATATTTATATTTTATTTCTTATTGATGATTATTCTAGATACATGTGGTCTTTTCTTTTGAAGCACAAAAGCAATGCATCCAAAAT